CCACTCCCATTCTTGTTGTTTTTGAGCGCAGGTGAAAAACTCAGAGCAGAAGTTACTATTGGTTTGCTCCCGCTCCCGTCTGCTCCCGTTAATGTTTAATCCTGTACCGTCCCAATCACATGATCGTTACTAATACTGACTCCCATCCCACGGGAATCCCACGGGAATCCCACGGGAATCCCGTGACCCATGGGATTCCCGAAAAAATGTCAGTCTCTACTGCACACAGAAAAACGTGACGATGTGGAAACAAGCCTCCCATACGGACCTTTTTGGGTTTTTTTTCATAACAGATATAAAAAAACAAAACTGTTTTATAAAATAAAAGCTGAATGCATTGTATACTATGTGTAGATGTGTCAGACTTTATGCTGTATGTTATGGAAACAGAAACTAAAACCCTTGTTTTTACCACAAGCTTGGCCAATAAACTCAACCCTGAATGCTGTTTTATATAACTGAATAAACAATAACCACATTTGACCACGCTGTTCCACTTGAACCTTCTGCACCATTTAATGTCAGTGCGGGCAACTTGGCCGTGGAAAAAAAACGTTATATCCTCCCATTTGGAACTAGGCTGGTGCGCGCAGTCCCCTCCAAATTACAAAGATTCGGAGGTGCAAGACTTAGCACCGATACTTCGCTCTCGCGCCCTGTTCGAGATATAGATTGAGTTCCGCTTAAATTTTTTTTCTTTGAACCTGCTGCACTAAAATATATTCTCCCTGCATTTAATTCACATGCAACCTCATTTACTGTGTTCCTCTGTAAACTGTCTTTAAGTTTATTTGAAAACCATACAATTGATTTTGTTTCAGTTCAGGTGATAATAACCTTGTTGAACACTTGAAATTAATTTATAAAGCTTATCTTGAGTTTTATTGTTTAAAATGTAAATCATGTGATGATGTCATTTAGCGCCAACCCCTCAACACAAACACACACACAAAATGCTGGTGAGAAGACAACCCTGGATCTTGGGAGATACTGCAAAGACAGGACTAAGAAAGTACCTACACAATTATGTGTTGTTTTGGGCAGCAGCTTAGCAGCAGAGCCAATCGCTCAGCAGAGCTTAGACGTGACCTTCAGAAAATGTTTTCTGCCGTTAAAAAGGAAACATTCACAGCACATGCAGCATTTACACCCACACAGAGGGAGCTCCATTTTTGTTCTTGGTAGAAATTTGCAGGAATCAAGCTAGCAATGCTTGACACTATCATGAATCAGGCTTTCTGCTTAACCTATAACTTGATACTATGGTGAGCATCTGATTTAAACCCACATGCAGTATAGGGCTAAGTGATGACTATCATAACCCATCAGACCAAACACAAGCTACAGAAAAGACATAGCTGCCCAATGAATCACACCAGTATCTTATGCTATTTGGGCATCAAGAGATGCAACAGATGCAGATCTTTTAAACTCAAAGAATACTCTGCTTCATTGACATCACCCCATCGCCTGACACATGACTTGGCTGATGTAAACATGGATAAAAACTCAGATCTCTATGATACAGATATGATGAACCAGGAAATCACACATACACAAATGTGGCCGTACAACTAAGACGTATAATAAGTAAATATAATAAGTTTGGAGAAAGAAAGCGCTAATAAGGTCTTTAATAGGGCGGGGGGGACTATGTATGAAATTACAGTTTTCCTCACAGTATCAGTGTGCAAACTATATCATAATTGCACATGAGTTTTTGGACGTGCAAATAGTAAACTGGTTTGATAGATGTATAAATATAAAACAAAATAGAATTCAGATACCTAGATAGTGCTGCTGGGCAATAGAGATGATGTTCCAGAACTAGAAAATGTCAATGTTTTTTTTTCATATTTTTAGTCTTCTAGCTAAGTCCTAACACAAAACTGTCACACCCAAGTTTCCACTATTGGACAATAAACTTAGTTCTTTTTATTTCTTATCTTATCTTCATGTTTTCCTAATGTGTGCAGCCCAAATCTTTATTGTCATTTGTCCTTTGTCAATGAATCAGTTATGGTCTTTTGCACACTACCTAAAAGTAAGAAGTAATAAAGGCCTGAGCTAAAGTGAGAAGATAACCTTAAATAACAGTACAGAGACATAGATTTTGTTATCACTTTACTTAAAAAAAGTATTATACAGAGAATTGTTCGCCATGTTTATTCATAGCTACTATTTAATGTTGTTGCATCAATTGGTTTTCATATTTCATAATACAGTATTACTGCATGCATTTTAAAGGTACACTATGCAACCGGTGTTGATTTTCCAGCGAGGCTCCCTCCAGAGGGCGAAAGTAAAAGTGCACTGTCGTAAATATGCTCAGCTGTTCTCCTGGTTTCTCCGTCAAGCCAGGCGCGGTTGTTTTGAGCTTAGCAGCGAATGACTAACGCTGCGTTCACACTGGATGTAGCTGGCGCGACAGAAGCAGCGAGTTTACATGCAAAGGTCCCGCGGCGCGTTTTGAGCTGCAGGCGCAGCACGTCTGAGCGGCTGCAGCAGCGCGTCGGGTGCGTTTAACGCAGGGAGAGAGACACAGCGCTGATGATCACTGCTCTTAAACAGTTTATTGACGCCTAAATTAACTTAAAATGCAGAAATCTGCCGGCAGAATATGCAGTTTGGATTATTTAGATGAAAAACACCTACCAGCTGCCGCGGTGAACCGCTGCTGATGAAGGGATCCATACTGTCGGCGCATCCCTGGTATGTGGGGGTCTGAGCGGCTCCGACAGAAAAAATATTGAAGGCAGGATAATAATCTGAATGAACTGACTGCACTGATTACGTTTTCAGGTGTATTTTCTCACTTAAAAACATATTAAAACTACTTTATTCCCACTGATCACAGCAAATATAGCTGCAAGGCAGAGAAAGGATAGTGAAGCTCCGCCCAACGCGCCTCAGACACACTTTTGCAGCCAGAGCAGCAAAGCTGCTTCAGCCGCGCGTCAGTACTAACTGGTACAAGCAGCAAAAATGAAGCAGCAGATGCGATTTTGCTGCTTTTGCTGCGTGAACGTAGCATAACTGCACAAAGATCGCCACTGTGCTAGCAACGAGAATGCTTTTAACTGGGGGGTGTAGCAGTTCTCGCCGTAAAGCAAGACTGACTCTCACGAGACTTCTGAGCCTGTGGGTGCGGGTCGGTGCTCCTGCAGTTGCAAGTGCAGTATTTCCCCCACAGACCACCAGGGCGGCCGAGAATACCTTTGTTCAACCTGAAATGACTCATTTAGTCATCCATAACGTTATGGAACACATTAATTAACTGAAAAATGTTGCATAGTGTCCCTTTAATAAGAAAGTCTGCATCTGTCGTTTTTGCGTTTTGGCCTCTTAACTGCTAATTACGCTACTGACTACACCACTTCCTTAAAAAGCAATCTTCAATTTGACATTAAATTTCACATTAAAACTTTAATGCTAAATTAGAATTTCATATTTATGTACATACATTTTAAAACTTAATAGCTCTATGTTTTATTTTTGATTAAAAATATAATGGTCAAACTCTATTTTTAAACTGACTGGAGGAGATTTAATGCAAAAATAACTATCTGACATGAATATCTAAAAACAAACTAGATACACTGTAAGCTAATGTTATCAAACCTATCTTAAATTATTAAGAGACATTTTACTAGGATTTCATTAATATAGAAAATTTGAGATAAAAAAACTGAATGCATCTATCAAAACATAACAAATCAGAAATTATTTGAATGCTAAATTTGGTTGATTATTGTATATTCTACAATAACAAAAATAGCTCTGTACACTAATGTTTATAATAGATTCTTTAAGGTTTCAGAACAATAACAAAAAATGGCATGAGAAAACTTAAATTCTAATTGATACTCTGTAACAATTTTGTGCATGTTTCAATGTAAATTGAGAAATATAAGTAATTCCAGAATTAACACATGATCATAAAAGCTGCAAGAAGCCCTGATGTTTATCATTTTAAGGTTTTTTTAATGTTTGTTTAGACATAAAGCCTTAGCAATTGCATATAGAACATATCATAATATGAAAGCTGTACTTCTATCTTAGAAAAATGAAATATCTTCGCAACCTACACAACAATACTGCTATGTTACATGGGACCATTTCATGAGCAAAATGATTTATAGTACCAAATAACATTAGGCTGCAAGGCAAACATCACATGGCTTTAAAGAGACACTCAGAAGGATCGAGTCCGCTATCTTGTCATTAGCTTGTTACAGCCAGATTAGTTCAAATAGACCTAGACTATTAGTTTAATTTCCCGTTCAAATGGTTCAATATTCTCCCCAGGTTTACTAAAGATAGTCAAGTCTCTCTGAAGTCATATAGTTTGACGGTGGAGTTTATTTAGGAAGTATTGTATATGTACGCTAACATCTCTACATAACACAATTTATTTAGCAATATCCATATAACTGGGGGGAATATGGCGTTTCTGTGTTAAATATCAATCCGCTGAACTCGTCTCTACTTCACTTTACCTCAAGCTGCTCCCTTTGCTCAAAGGCCTACTTTGCTGGTGTGTTAATGTCAGCTAATGTTAGCTAGCATGCTAATGTTAGCTTCTCTTTGGATTGTCAAACTCGAGCTAATGGCATGCTACTTACCTTTTCTCCAACCGCTGTGCGAAAGAAGTTCAAATTCCGACTATCCGGCTCCGCTTTTTAGATGACGATGTGTATTTAAACAGGCTAGCCGTTGAGGTGATATTAGCCTACTAGCTGAGTTAATGTTTCCCTATTTAACAAAAATAAATCGAGATTGGCCTCAGTTGAGCGGCGGTAATTCGTTTCTCGGCGGTTCCCTGCTTGGACAGCGTTGATTTTTACGCATGTTGAACGCCAGCTCTTGTCCCTCACAACAGGTGAAGACAAAACGCGATCGTACAAAATGTGAAACCTGAGAGTTGATTATGATATTATACAACACTGACAAATCTAGCACTTTCTTCCATTGAAAGGCCAGAGCTATCCTTCGACTTTGGGTGCTGAACAAGAGGAGGTGCTATTTTTGGCATCTCGGCTGTGATTGGTTGAAGCGTCTTGACAAAATAACATTTAATTGGCTATATCTCCCGTCAATAAGTTCGGCCCCTAGCTATTTCCCATTCTCATTGGTCTATTACAAACTTCATGTACGCGATAGAGATGCGGAGTGCGCTCGACTTGTATTATTGCGTATGCCGGAGGAACATTGAACGGGCGGAGTTAGCTTTGGAAATGTAGCTTCCCACTCCGGAGACGAAGTCGGTTAACCTCATCTATTTGGCCACAAATAAAATCGTGTATGTAACACACACCGCTGGAGCAACGGAACTTGATTGATCGTTTTAAAGAAATTCATAGGACCTGAAATAGAAAATGAGCATCCAAGCAATCTTGTGCAACAACATGTATTGTATATATGACAAATCTTTAACCTTTGCCCAGGGGTAATAATATAATGGTTACATAAATCAAAAGCTGTGTTTTCGCCAATCAAAAACTTTTATTGAGTCTTTGACACTTTTTTATTGTCTTTAATCTAATACAGTTCTGTTTTTTGAAAGGATAGCAATATAAACACATTTTTCAAGAATTTTCACTTCAACTTGTCTGTTTATTTCGCTGATTCAAAAAATAACTGAACTTAAAAGCTAACAGGACAATGGAATACTAAAGAAGTATAATATACCTTGGAGATCAATATTACACACTAGACTAATTCAATACTTACGGATATATCACCATTCATCAGCGTTAATGTATGTATAAAGCACCTTAAAAAGTCAAAAGCCAACCAAAGTTCTGCATTTGTACTTTGAAACTAAAAGGAAAATAAAAGTAATGAACAAAAAATATGGATAAGTTTGACAATTTAAGTAATAGTAAGAGCAATAAAAGAAAAAAACCATAACAGTGCTGTCTGGAACAAAACCTAATTAATAAGATTATTTTTTTCTAAAAAAAATAAAAAAAGAAGTTCTAAATGTCCATCAGATCTGACTTAGAGTGTAAATTATATCAGGATCTGGCTTAATGACCTGTTTAATTTTAGAAATACATGTTTGTTTTGTTTTAACTTTAAAGGGTACATTTTATGTTTTGAAAAATCAACAGGAATATTGCTCAAAATTATTGGGATTCATTAGATGTTTTTACTGAGCTCTAAAGCTTACATGTCAGATGTCTGAAGGCAAGTCTAGTAATGGATTTATGTAAATGCACCAGCTGGGTCTTAGATCCCAGTTAGTAGGAAATGTTGGTGGCTTAAGTTTTGCCTTATATTTTGATTTTGTTCAGTTCTGATCTTTGCACTATTCCATCATACATCTGCAATGATCTAAGCCTGTTTTTACTCTAGGCTTGTTGTTCCATCTTCACATCAACTCTTATAAGATTTCCTGTCCCTACTGAGGAGGAGCATCCTCAATTTATAGGGTTCCATTAACGGCAAAACTTTGTTTGGGTTCCATTTGTGCCAAAAATATGTTTACGTGTATGTATGTATTTGTGTATGTGTTATGTGCTTATGTGCAAGTAAGGTGTAAATGTTATGTGCACATATTTAGGCATGGTTTGCACAAAGTCAGTCGTCCAGGGCCCCTGTCCTACAGGTTTTAGAGGTTTCCTGCTGTAGCACAGCTGATTTGTCATTGATAGCTGATTAAAAGGCTTTTGCTGAACTGCAATCACCAGAGGTTTCCCAGCTGTGATGAAGCTGGGAAACCTCTAAAACCTGCAGGACAGCGGCCCTCAGGGACCGACTTTGAGCATGCCTGATGTAAGCTGTTTATGTTATGTGCTTATGCTAAGTGTATAGACAAACAAATTTATTTTGGCACTAATGAAAGCCCGATAAACAGCAGGATGCTGCCACCACCAGAACGACTTTTTAGAGTTTGTTTGGCTACATTTTTTTGTCTGATCTGACCAGAGTACCTTGCTGGCTGTGTATCCTACAAGACTTTTGGAAAACCATTAAAGGACTTCTTACATCACAACTGTCCAGGAATGATGATTTGTTTCTGTACCTTCTAATTAGCAATACAATAAATGTTTTCTATTTAAGACATATTCATCAAAGGAGTAATTAAGATTAGTTTCTGGGTTTCAGCTAACACCGGGAACAGACTTTTAAAGCTACGTTGATAAATTACTGAGCATGCTTCAAGAAACTTATAACTAGTTATCGATTATTCTGAGGTTAAGGTGACAAGAAACAAGAGAGTGCAAAGGTCATTTTCTGCTAAAAATAACATATGTTCATCCATCTGTTTTCTGTGACACTTATTACTGCTAGGGTTGCGAGGGGTGCTGGTGCATATCTCCAGCTTAAATATAACGTGAACATTAGAAAATCCATGTTAAATTTGTTTGTTTACAAACAACTTTATCTGTTTTATATCAGATCAAGATTTAAGTGTCAAAATTTTTCCAAACCAACCTAACCTTAATGGTATTGTGAAGGATTTTTAAAGTACACTTTACTTTAAAAAAATGCACAAGTAAACATATCACCAGAATGATTGACAATTTGGAGAACCACATATTTTGATGATCCACCCGGAAAAAGAACACCCTCCACTATACCTTTAAAGGGGTCATAGAATGATTCTATAGGGTATTTGGTGCTGGTCCTTAAAGTCTCTGAATAGGGTGTGTCACATTGGCTGTGCTGAAAATGGCATATTTGCTGTTCTATGAGCCCTAATGCAAGCCTGGTTAAAAGCCCTAGAAAGAAAAGACAGATTTTCTTCTTTTTATGGTATGCTCATGAAAATTTAGATGAGCTGTGTGCTGATTGGTCAGTTTTAAAAGTGCAAAGCTGCTGAAAAAAGACGCATCATAGCAACAAGCACTCACTCACTGAAACATCGAAATTGTTGATATGCCAGCATTGCTACCAACAGCTTAGCGACACAATCATGCTTCCAACTTGTGGTTGCGATGGCCTTACGGTGGGAATAGCCCCTCATTTCAGTAAAAGAAGTTCAGCAAATCCTGCTTTGAACTATCCAAGATTTTGAAACCTGTCTTCGGTAAAATGCTTAGAGCAAATGATCAGCTTAGCACCAGACTTTGCAGGGATCTTCTGATATACAAAAATAATCCATGCCTGTCAAACCTTCGGATCCTTGGGAAGACTGTGAAAAATGTCCACTCTCTCTGTGCAGCCTGGAACACTGCATTACATCTACCTCTATTCATGTTCATGGTCCAGTGAACCAGTGGGCTGGTCTGTAGATCAATTTCGGGGCGTGAAAAAAAGTACAGACCAGAACCAAATAAGGCAACATCCCAGAGTTTATGTCAACTCGGGGCTTCGTTTGAATTCGCCCGTTTTATGGTGGAAATTTGGAATTGTGAGATTTGCAGAGAAAGGAGGTGTTGATGGGGTTTGAACATCTCTGTACGTCCATTTCACACACTGAACCATCATTATTCATCTGACAATGTAAACTCTGTATTGCATTCTATGAACCCTTTAAAGTGAAAAATAAATGCAATTTCTTGTTTGTTTGTTTTTTTGTTGAATAATAACTGCACAATTGCTAAAAATAAAACCCAACAACAAATGGTTGTAATAGATTATTTCCTGCTTTTTAAGAAAAAAATATTGGGTGTGAAGTTCAGTTGAAGCTTTCTAAAATAATCTATGCTGTCAGATTAGATGTTAAAGGCAGATCTGACTAACTAATACCTCCAGGCTCCAGTGAGGTGTTTTTTTATTTATTTATCTCCAAGAGTATCCACAATATAGATATCATAATTCATTAGTTTGAGCAACTTTCAGAAATTGAGCCCCTAAATGAAACTATAATTAAACTATAACATGAGAGCATGTATAGAGATGTTTAGTAATAGCGACTTAGTGAAACTGTGTTGTGGCCGAAGAGGGGCTTATCCGTTGTCATTTTGTGGTTCTCCCGCAGGATTAGGCTTGTGTCTTATTAATCAAAAACTCATCGGATATCAGAAATGCTCCCTGAGGAGCCAGTCGGGGTTATGAGACACATGTTAGATAAATACTATGAGTAGAGGAGAGTGGTATTTAATTTACCAAGATGTAGGATTATCACTGGCAGAATTTGATCATTCCGCCTCTGATCTCAGGATGTTCAATCTCAGCTTATCCCAAATATTAAACTCTCAGTCTTTTGTTCCCCTTTTTTGGCCCCAGACACACAAACGTAGATGCTTACGCTGCTCCAATTACCGAGCTTTCATTGAGTAAAGTGGCCCGCTGAGCCTATACCATCAGGGAAGTGTCTGTTGTGTGATTGTTCAGCCACCTGCTGACCTCTCAGGATCTGGTTGGGGAGAAGGGGGAAGGGTGTCTTACAGGAGAGTAAATTAAAAAAAGAAAAAAACACTGTTAAATCTAATCCAGAACACTGCCAACAAGTGGCACACACATAAAATCTGATGCTTACATGGATCTGGATGAGCTTAAATACATCAAATCACACCCACCCATCCGCTAAATACTCTGTGATTGTATCTCAAGCCGGAAGGAGAGGGAAGTACCGGGCCCTGATCTGCACTCTCATTTTCTGCACCCAGGACAACTGGGTCACATCATTACTGCAATCTTCTGCTTGTTCATTCCCAGCTTTACGCCGGCTTATGGGTACACACAGAACAGAGATGGATGTGTGTTTAACAGCTGACAGGCATGAGCTGTCAAATGAAAGAAAGAAGATTAAAAAGAGTGGTTAGAAGAAGTGGCGAAAGAAGTGACCATTCCCAAAAGATTTGGGACATTTCAAAGCACATATAAATATATATCTTCTCCCTTTTTTCCTCCAAGCTTGAGGGATCTGTGCAGTCAAAAGAATTCTATTGTATAAATAAGATAATTATTTTTTTTTTTGGCAATTACTGTGGGGACTGAAACGGCTTCTCTATCTATCTATCTATCTATCTATCTATCTATCTATCTATCTATCTATCTATCTATCTATCTATCT